CTCTCTCTCTCTCTCTCTCTCTCTCTCTCTCTCTCTCTCTCTCTCTCTCTCTCTCTCTCTCTCTCTACATTCCCCGATGCGGGCAGTCCGTCGCCTCGCATCAATACAGAGTTGTGACCACGCTTGGCTTGGGCATGCAAGCCAGGTTCGCCAGTGTGCCACAATCCGTCACGGCCCCGCACGTCAACCCCGCATACTCGACACCAGCTCGTCGGATCGCCCAACTCTCTCGTCGACTCACCTTTCAGGCTGACTCGTTAGTCGACCCTCACTGATCGCGCTAACTCCAAATTTCATAGAGAGCAAACTAATTGCACTTGCAAAATTTATAGCATGCATGCTTGCGTGAAAGGTACGGGATTAAGGCCAAGTGGTCAGGAGGAGAACAAAGGAAGTGCCTACGTCTGCATGGCCAGGCCGTGACGTGGGAGACGTAGCCGCACTTCACGCATCGATCCGGCCATACAGGCGTTCAGGCCAATCAGACGCAAGGCAAAGAAGAAGAAGACGAGGAAATCAAGAAAGGAGAGAGATATAGTTATAATCGCGCCCGCCAAAAGCAACAATTACACAAGATTAAGGGCGCGATCCAGTCAGAGCCCTGTTCCTAGCACCACAAGATGTGTGTGCGTGGCGCAACAAAATTCAGAGTACCTAAATTCCTAGCTTAAGTCCTAATTGCAAAAGGAAATTGTGAAGAGCCCAAAAACAATTCCGCGAGCTGTAGGGGCTCGACGTCAATTGAAAAATTCAAAAACGACATTCCGTCACGATGATCGCGCCAAAAATTCTCAGTGCTCATAGCAGGACAAGAAAGAAGTCATGGCCACCGTTGTCCGTCACGCTCGCTAAGGCGCGGTTACCCAATCATTGGCGCGGGACTTTCCCAACACCGACCCGACAGATTTCTACAGGAAACAAAAAGAAACGTGGGCATCCATGTAATCAGCCCGGCCGACCCGCCTTCCCCCAGCTCCTCCATCCGATCCCGTCCCAGTACCCCCCTTCGTCATCATCGCGCAGAAAGTCGCGCGACACATAAAATAGTTCGTCACATATGTGACGCCCAGGGGGTTCCAATCTTGAGCAAGCTCCTGCTTGCTCTGTCATCAAGCGCCGATCGGTTTTCCGATGATCAACGCGGAGCTTACACGTGCCACTTACCGTGGGATCTGAGTATGGAAGTCATCCGACGTGGCATAGGTGCGCGCAATCCAAAACGTTGCCCAGGAAAGGTAATCTAATTACAGATGGGGGAGGTGGTGGATAGACTTAGGGGAGTGGAGGCACGAAGTGGTAAATTTCCTCATCACTAGAGGGGAGTGGGACGTAATGAATTGAGCGATGGATGCGGGGAAAGCGAGGGTGCCGACGTTGATGGGGGAGAGAGGCAAGGTAGTCAGGGTAGAGGGTGCAGAGGGTGTGGCGGATGACAGCGTGGAAATCGTCACATTCCTCGCACGGGGGGATCATGCCTGCCATGATGCAATAGACCTCTATATTATTATACTCCTGCCAATCCACGCTAAAAAGAAGGACGTGCAGGGGAAAAAGAAGTGACGAGCGAGCGAGTAGTAGGATGCAGGAAGATGGTGACCAGAAGGCGGGTGGCGTAGCAATGGTAGAAGAGGGAGAGTGGGAACGGCTGCCACCTATTGGGGAACGGGGGTCGTCCTGGGAGTTGTCGTAGGGTGAGGAAGTCACGGGGACGACGGGATAATGACCGGGGAAGAAGCCCGAGCGCCCGCATCTCGGCGTAGACAAAGGGCTGCGGGTGAAACTGGGGAGGATTGGGAGGGTGATTCACTTCTTTGGCAGCGCCAGCTTCTCGATCCCTCTGCTGTGGCGCCTCAATTTCTCTTGGTCTCCTCTCGTGGTGGTTCCGGATTGAGAGTCGGATCGCCCTGCAGCAGCTGCAGCGGTGGCCCTCCTGATTCCTCGATCGGTCGCTTGCCTTCTGCCGCCGCCCGTTTCCTCTCCGCCACGGCCTCCCTTTCTTCCCTGCTCAGCTCGCTGGGACCGCTCGACTCACCCGATCCACCTTCTTCTTCCTCCGACTCCACCCGTCCCGAACTGGCTACTTCCGACTCGACGCCCTTCGATTCTTGATAATCGGGACCGTCTGATTCAGCCCCTGATTCCTCCTCTTCTGAAGTCTCTTCTTCTTCCGTATACTGAAGATGATCGCTCTCCTTGGTTTCCTCTTCTTCCTCCTCCTCTGCTTCCTCGCTAGTTTCTCTTATAGGAACGCGCCGGATGAGTGGGTCCCACGTGGAAAGATCACTGACGTCGATGCTCAGGTATGCACCTCTCGAGGGTAAGTAGTAGCTACCCTCCTTCAATTTCATACAGGTGGACCAAAGAAGATGCGGCTCCAGGGTACGAGCGAGCATGGTTGTTTCCGACTTCTCGTCACAATGTGAGAGGATCTCCAATGGCAGATCGTTCAGCACTCTAGTTAGAAGCACCAGCATCTGGTCTGTAATGGAGCTCAGATGGCCGTCGCACACTTCTCCGAATAAGATCCCTAAAAAATCTCCCTCCGTGTCCGTTCTCCACCCCTTGATGAGCAACAACTCCACCTCGTCGTCCGGGATCTCGTCCTCCACACTCCTATCTGTGGGTTCCGCCCAATGGAAGGTGACCTCGGGGAGGCAAAAACTAAGTGCCACGTAGGCTTGCGTCCACTTGAGTGCATCTAGAATCGACACATCCAATTGCTTGATCGTGAACGACAAAGACGCTTCCTCGGCAGATTGCCAAAACGTGGGAACATCAGAAGGGAGGCTGAAGGTAGAGAGGCGGTGGCGGTTCATTGAGGTCGGGCGAAATGATGAAGTTCCGGGAGTATGACCTCTGACGCGGTGGAGGAGAGTCGAAGCTGAAGATCGATGTCGTTGGTTGTTACGACACGATCTCGTAGTCAGGCCAATAATCGCACCCACTCAGTCGTGATGTGCGCTGCCCAGTCTCGCAGCTGTCAGAGGATGGCGGTATGCTGTGCTGGATGCAGCGTCATGATGTCGCCTGTAAAGACGACAACAACCGACATGTGGCTCTCCCCTGGTGGGGACAGGCGTAAGAAGGCTGACACCTCAACCAACACTTGTGCCGCCCCAGACTGCGCGAATCGGAATTCCGCCGCCCCGTGAATGGCCGCTATACTGAAGAAGGTCGCGAATCGGAGAGGATCTGGACTCAACCGAGGCTGTTGCACTTGCCTGATCGCAGAGAAAGCTTCCCCGGGTACCATTAGACGCTCGCTGATCACCTGCTCCGTCGAAAAGCTCATGGCGATGGAGGCGACGTCGAAGACGATGGTTGAGAGAGAAAGGTGGATTCGAGAGAGTCGTCATCCTCGTCTTGGCCGAGGGACGATGCAGATGATGGAGGAGACGGGGAAGAGTGGAGAGGACGAAGGTAAGACGCGTGTCGAATGATCGGATGAGTCAATCGACTTCCCAACACCTCTGGCGCAAGCCGCACCGTGTTCACCCCATTGGGACTAAGCTTGACCACCCGAAATCGCCCGAATTTATATTGGGGCCGAGGCCCAGCATTCCCATTCCGGGCCTCGTAACTCCTGACCTGTCTCCCATGGGCCATTTATGTCATTCGTTGGCTTTTTCGGACCAGTCGGGGGAGAGGTGGCGTTGGACTTTATCCTTAACCGTCGCCCTAGTGGTCCGTCGTGGAAGGGTCGTCTCATCATTTAGGCTCGGTATGGCTACACAAGGCAGGCTATTGGTCCGTAGTTGGAAGGGGGTCAGACCCGTGGATTCGTGGGGTGTCCCCCGGTGGATAGCCAAGATATGGTCTACGATATCGGGCCAAGGCCTCGTGTCATTTGTCGTGATATTGCGTCGCAAGGCGGTCTTAATCACTCGATTGGCGTTCTCTACCAGTCCGTTGGATTGCAACATGTGGGGAGCAGTGTTGCAGGATTGCGACATGTGGGGAGCATGTACGACTAGATTCCTCAAGACTTCCCCTCTAAATTTTGCCCCATTGTCTGTCAGGATCTCCTCCGTATCTTGGTGCATCCCGAGAAAACGGTTGATGTATCGTGCGATCTCGGCCGCCTGTCGTGTCTTGCAGGGATAGGCCTCGATCCATTTCGAGAAATGGTCTACGAATACCAGTAGAATTGAATACTCGCAGCTATTAGGTCCAGGGGGAATGACAATATCATTGGTATCCATACTAACCCTCTGGAATGGTCGTTCGACTACTGTAGGCACTATCGACCTTGGCGGCTGAATTGGCGCCTTGTCAGCGGCACAGACCTGACAATTTCGGACGATGAACTTAACATCGCCGTGAATGTTGGACCAGTACCACTCATTTTTATCGATTGCTGCCTCCATGATTCGGACAGCGAAATGGGCCGCAGTCTCCTCGTTGGCTGACTTAACCAGTCATACCTTACAAACGGATGCAGGACAGACATCCAAATCCCGCTCTCATTTGTTTTCCATTTTTATAACCGTCCCTCATTCCATCTGTAATCCCGAGCCCTCTCATTGGCCCGTTTCCGGTCCTTCTTTGTGAAGTCTCGGAGAGGGTTTCCGACCACCGTAGCTATCAGGATGACATATGTCCATACTTCAGCCCTTCTAAACCGTCGTGTCTTTTCTAGTCCTTCAGACGTGGCTTCGAGAAATCGAGCCTCCGTCGGGATTTTATCAATGCGACACAGAGGACACAACCAGGGTTTGTCTGTATTCCGGTACTGGATATAAGAACTATGGGCTCGGGAAACACATCACTGACAATCTACCTACTCGACATAGCCCTCTCCGCTCGGTCGCATAGGGACCGAGTAGACTCTCGAGATTGCCTCACAAAAATAACAAAATTTGTCAGGTAGGGAGGGGAAGGAGAAGGATGAGAGAGGAGAAAGGGGACCTTCGGGATTACCTCCGCACCCCATCGCCATCGTGTCAATCACCCCTTAGGAGCTCGAGGACGGATGGCCACCTGTCGGTAGGAACGCTCGTTGGTTGGTTCTAATTCCTTCCACGGGGTAATCTCCTCACTTTTAATCACCCTGTCAGGTCAATGCAGACGTGTCAAACCGTCAGCGTTCCCATGCTTCTCCGTCTTCCGATGGATGATATCAAAATCGTAGTCTTGCAATTGTACCGCCCAATGTCTAATCATACCCGTGTAGTTGGTGAGCCTCTTGAGGGCCAGCAAGGGTTCATGATCCGTGACGAGGAGGAACTTCTGACTGTACAGATATAGATGAAAATGCTGAATTCCCCAAACCACTACGTAACACTCTCCCTGAGGAGCTGAATCGTTTCTCCTCTCGTCAGGCACTGTCCAAGATAGTGGAGATCGTCTCAGGCTGCCAGTCCGTAATGAGTATGAACTGCTTTTGCGGGTCCGACCGGATCAAAATAGGCGCAGTAACCAGGGCCTCCTTCAAAGTGACAAAGGCCCGCTCGCACTCAGTGTCACATCGTAAAGGCTGCTCCTTACTGAGAAGATTCGTTAGAGGTCGTGCAATCGCCGCGAAACCCTTGATAAATCTGTGGTAGTACGACGCCAATCCCAAAAAGGTCCGAACCTGTGTCAGTGACATGGGCGTGGGAGCCTCTCGGACAGCCGCAACCTTTCTCAAATCTGGTCTTAACCCACCTCGCGTTACTACGTAACCCAAGAATGAGATTACCGAGAGGAAGAACTCGCTCTTTTCTAATACAATTTTGAACCCAGCGTCCCACAGTGCTCCCAGCGTTCACTCAATATGTTGCGCATGCCCGTGAAATGATTCCGAATAAACCAGAATATCATCCATGTACACGATAACGCAGAAATCAATCATCCTCTGCGTCAGTCCGGTCTTGTTAACGAAATTCTGAAAGGTCACGTTCATCACCCTTTGGAACGTGGCTGGTGCATTGCAGATTCCCATCGGACAACGAATCCACTGCCAGGTGCCTTCGAACAATACAAAGGTCGTCTTCAGCCGATCCTCCTCTCTAACCAAGATGTGATGAAATCCATGGCGAATATCAAACTTACTGAAATAATTCGCACACCCAATTGCATCCAACAAATCATCAATCCGGGGAAGGGGATACACATCATTGATCGTGACGTCATTCAACTTTTGATAATCAATGCAAATGTGAATCGACCCACTCTTTTTTGGGACCAAGACCACGGGAAATGACCAAGGTCCTGTTGCTGGTTCGATCCATCCGTCAGCCTCAAACTCCCTGATTATTTGTAGCGCAATTTTTCTTTCTGCGAGAGAATACCGGTACGACTTACAGTGGATCGGGGGATGCGTTACGGTCTGAATCTCGTGTTGAATAACTAAGAACAATCCAATATCCGTATCCCTTACGCTAATCGCATCTTGATATTCAGTCTAAATGTCCGCAATCAGTCGATGGGTTTCATTGGGTACATACTGGGGCACATGCAGTTCGTACGGCTTTCCGTGTATAGTAATCGCCACGTGTTTCGTATTCGATCTGTGGTTATTTTCGGTAGGGGGAGCAGAAATGAAGGAATTATCTGACTGCCAAGAGAACACAGTAGCGACCATCTGAGCGTCTTCTTCTCGGATAGCCACGTATTCTTCCGGGGTCAAACCGTCGTTGATGTCTTGCCAGAGAACTGACTTTTCGGCGATCTTGATCCCAAGCTCGTAGAGCGTAGGGTCGTCGCGCTCAGGGGGTTCCAGAGCTTCGCTTTCGGTCCCTAAGCATAATAATCGCACCTTCTTATCGGATGACAGTAAGGAACGAGGCAACCCTGTAATGTCGCAAAACCCCTTCTTCTCTCGGTATCTCGAAAGAAGTGGGGTCGTAGCTTTATACAGGGTTCGAGGGGGTTTTAAAGAGTCGACCATCTGGGATACTTGTACGAGGGCGTCGAGGGGTTCTCCAAAAATTAAAGTCTGAGTTCGTTGCAGGTTTCTTTCCGTAAGGGCGAATGTTTTGGAAGTCCTATGTTGGATTGGATAGCGAATCAGTTGTCGAGTCGTATCGAGATCCGCTTCATTTTTGCCATCGAATTCGCTCGAGGAACTATGTTCCTCGTCCTCATGCTCGACTTTCCGAGTTAGTTGTTCCAAGGTGATTACTCGGAGAGCGGCTCCGGGGGTCGGAGGAACTTTCTGAGTCCTGGGCATCATGGTTCACAAAATTAGGCGCGTTGGGATAACATACGCTTTCGCGTCCGTACTTTGTAGGATTATCGATCGTCGTTCGAAGTCCAGATTGGCCCGTAGCGCGACGAGCGCCAGTAATCCCAGAAGTACATTATAGGTATTGACATCCAATAGTACCACATCCCCCAAAGCATGAATCTTTCCCAACCGAAAGGCGACATTCGTCATTTTTCTCACTGCTTTTATCTTCTCTTCATCCGCCGAGACGAGATGGTCTTTCTCGATTAGCGTGATCAGATCTTTCCATCACCCTGCCTTTTCCACAACCCTCAGTGATATGACCAAAACAGTTGCTCCTGAATCGATGACAACATTGTACGGGACTCCCCATACTTCAATGTCACATTCTGCGGATTTTCACGGAATGGCTTTGATGAGTAAGAAATTGTCATCTTTTGGGATTAGTCCCAACCGTATTGGGTCTGACGTGCTGGGCTTTTCGAGCTTGTCATCGGGAGTGGGGGCTTTCCCCTTCGTCGTTGTCAGTTTATTAAAACCGAATCGCTTTCTGTTTGCCTTGCAATGATGCAACATGTGTTCGTTAGCTTGTTCTGAGATAGACAACAAATGGCCAATCGGCAATGGAATCCGGTGGTCTAAGGCCCAAACAATGTTCAAAACGTCAATTTCTCCCGTTACGAAGGTAGGACCACCTGACTCCATTTCGTTTGGGGAAGGTCTCCATTCGGCTACTTCCTTT